GAGAAAACCAAGAGAATGTGATTTCATGGAAGTTAAGGGAAATCAAGTCAAGTGAAGAAAGTGTTTTCAGGGAAAAATGACCATTTGTTAGACATTGCTGTTCAGGTGTATCTTCAGAAATGACTTTTGCCTTTTGTAATGTGAAAATCCTAATGGGCAGTTTTATTGGGGTTTCAGAGATGAAAATCTAACTGGAATTGGTCTAAGAGAAAAGAAGAGAAGAGGAAATGAGTCTTTTAAGGAATTTTCTATAAAGGAACACAATGAAGTAAGGCAATAACTGAAGGTGGTTGTGGGGTGTAGAGAAGGTTCCTTTCTTTCTTTCTTTCTTTCTTTCTTTCTTTCTTTCTTTCTTTCTTTCTTTCTTTCTTTCCTTCCTTCCTTCCTTCCTTCCTTCCTTCCTTCCTTCCTTCCTTCCTTCGTTTCTTTTTATTTTTTTCTATGTCAGACCTGGCAGATATTATGCATATGGAATGACCCAGAGGGCAGGAAAATTAATAGTGCAGGGCAGAAACAAAGTCCTAGATGAGAGAGGATAAGGATCTAGGCCACAGGCCAAAGTTTTGGCCTTAGACTAGAGCCAAACAGCTCCACTCTAGCTAGTCTAGAGGGAGGGAGTCTGGAAGATTTGCTGATTGATGGGAAGGTGAAGAAGGTCTCTTTTGAACACTTGTGTTTTGTCAGTGAAATAAGATCTCCAACAGCCCTGAGCAATGGATGACAGAGTGTGGGAGGTTTAATGAGAAGGAAATGGTGTGCTTCTCAGAGGCCTGGAGTCATTGGGCTAGAGGAAGGCAGTGGGATGCCCCAGAAGTCCTAAGGACCCACTTGAGGTTTGCGGTTGTACATTTAAAAATAGTGCTTGTCGGGGCGCCTGGGTGGCGCAGTCGGTTAAGCGTCCGACTTCAGCCAGGTCACGATCTCGCGGTCCGTGAGTTCGAGCCCCGCGTCAGGCTCTGGGCTGATGGCTCAGAGCCTGGAGCCTGTTTCTGATTCTGTGTCTCCCTCTCTCTCTGCCCCTCCCCCGTTCATGCTCTGTCTCTCTCTGTCCCAAAAATAAATAAACGTTGAAAAAAAAAAATTTAAAAAAAAAATAGTGCTTGTCAACACTATTGGATCTGATGCTCCCTTTGTATAACAAATATTTTGTAATCCTAAAATATTATTTTACTATCCCAAAATACAATTTGTAGTTAAGATAACCTAAGCACCAATACAATTTCCAAAGAAATGCCTGTCTAGTAACAATAACTATAGTAAAAGAAAAATAATTTAAAAATAAAAGTAATATATATTTCAATATAATTTCTCAGTACAGTGATACTAGATAACATGATTAAGTTTGCAGATTCTTGTTCCTATGCAAATACCAGCTAAATGTATGAACTATAAATGCCAAATGATACAGTTGTGTTATACAGGTGACTCAAAAGCCATGAATGTTAGTGTCATTAGTGATAGGATTTTTCCAAATGAGTAAATGACACATGAAGCATCAAATTTACCCTCTTTGAGATACTTTTTTTTAAGGTTTATTTATTTATTTTGAGAGAGACAGAGACAGCACAAGTTGGGTAGAGGCAGAGAGAGAGAGAGAGAGAGACCGAGAGAGACAGAGAATCCCAAACAAGCACCACAGTGTCAGCCTGGAGCCCCATGCAGGGCTCAAATTCATGAAACCCTGAGATCATGACCTGAGCTAAAACAAAGAGTTGGACGCTTAACCGACTGACACACTCAGGCACCCCTCCCTTTTCGAGATATTAGAGGGAGTTTCATTTCTAGAAAACTTGATGTGTATTATAATCGAGCAAAAATACTTTATTATAAAATGTAGTTTGGTTTTAGGCACTTATAAATAGATATCGATCAAACATGAACATTCGGAGGGAAATTTTCAAGTGTAGAATGCAGGACAAACTTTCTTTGTGTAGGACTTTCCCACACTTTGAAGGACATTTGGTATTCTTGGTCCCCTGCCAGGTGAAATGACGGCAATGTCTTCCAATCATTGTGAGAACCAAAAAGTTCTTAAATTCTCAAAACTCTCTGTGATATATCCATACCACCTCCCGTTCTCATTGTTCTCTGTTGATCTATTGCGTTTCCATGAATGGAATCTTTAATGTGTTTTCTGTAGCCACTGTCGACTATTAAGGTATAGGCTTTCAGTATGTAGAGAATTGGACCAGGGTTGGTTTCTATTTTTTAAAACTTGAGTACAAAAGAAGGAAGAGTAGGGCAATGAGTCAGGACAAGAGCATGACTGTAATGCTGGATCATGAATTCTAGCTCAGTATAGAGGGAAGAGGGGACTTGGTAGGGAGGTATGGAATGTGACAAGGTGATAGAAAAAATGGTTTGGAACATTTGGTAGAGTAAAGAATTGTTAGAGTGGGCTACTTAAACATGTGAACTAGAGAAAATGGAGATGGTGGTGAGAAGGTGGGCTTCTTGCACTTAAAATTTTAGCAGTGGTACTGTTATTTGTAATGACCAGTTTAAGGCTGTATCCATGGGAAGGGTAGCTGATGTGAGATGGAGTTAAGATTATTGGAGGCACTGAGAGGCCAGGGGGGATTGTCTACTTAGATATTTAAAAGATGTTGAATGATTACCAGAACAGAGGGGGAAAGAACAAAAGCAATCCAGGATGGTAAAATCTTTAATAAATGAGCAGGAAGGGTACAGAGGAACTGATATGAATGCAACAAGGAACGATAATAGGTGCTCTGGTCTATTGGAATGTGCTTCAAAGCAAAGACCTTTGGAGGAGGATGCAGGAACAGTAGTCTGGAAGTGGTGACGAGGAGCAAGAAAGAGAGCTTCCACACACACCTCCAGATAATTTAGTTTTCCTTTAGCATAAGAATCAAAATTTGTTTTTTATTTTTATTTTAAAGTTTATTTATTTATTTTGAGAGAGAGAGAGAGAGAGAGAGCACAAGCAGGGAAGGGGCAGAGAGAGAGAGGGAGAGAGAGACCGGTTCTCAGGAATTGTGATATCATGACCTGAGTCAAAGCCAAGAGTCAGATGCTTATCTGACTGAGCCACCCTGGCTCCCCTAGAGAGATTTTCAATAGAAGCAGATCTTTAGGAGATTGCCAGGTATTCAGAAAAATAAAAATCGATGTGAACTAATTATGTGTTCCTGTCATTTTCACCAGCAACAGCAGGAGTTTACTACCTTCCGATGTTACTCATTTTCCTATAGTTCAAATATGTTGTCTAAAAGAATGAGCTTTCCGTTTCCCCTTAGACTTCATTTCAAGTGGTTGGGTATTTATTGTATGTAGCTAACATTCTGGGGGCATCAAACTAAAACACATGATTTCACTGAGAAATATAACACAGGGGCTATATGCCCTGGCTTCTAAGAGCCTTCAACTTGGTTCCACCTGGTTCCATGTTGGTAAGGAACAGGTCTTTCCTGCCACCCCACCCCTCACCATCAGGCCCCAAGAATTTCCATCAATCTTATGGGAAATCTGGGCCCTTGAACATAAGATTGAGTACTGCAGTTGGTTCTGATGGGGACGGGCTATTTCAGAAAACTTTTAAGCTCAGATGACCATCACATGTGCTCAAAAAGTGTAGGTGATGGGCTGCTTCTTGTATTCTCATTCATTAATCAGTGATTTGTTATTTTAATCAATGTCCATCATTTTATTTCTAGACTCGGTATGACTTAGCTATAGTGATTATTCTCTTGCCATAGTGTTAAATTTTATCGGCTAATATTGATTTAGAAATTTTACCTCTTTAAGTAAAATTGCTGTATTACTTCTTAATTACCAGTGGTGGACTTTATTATGAAGCTTATCTCTCCTTCGTGGAATAAATGAACTAGTTTTCTCTATCTTTATGATTTAAAATATTTTATATAGCATGAAAATGATCTGTTCCATGACCTGTGGAGTTATGCAAGCAAGAGGATGCTCTGTATTTTCTGTTTCAAGTCTATGAGTTTTTTTTTTAAGTTTTATTTATTTCATCAGAATTTTTGCGTTTATTAAACTACACATGCATAATATATTCTTTAAGCCCTTTCTATGCTAAATATTTAGCTCAGTTTTCCTGTTTGGATTGTATTATATTAATCTAGTTTTATTTGCAAGAGATTTGCTATTTTACTTTTATTTCAAAAACTTTTTTTTGAATCATTCTACTGATGTTCTGTTTTTTAATTTATTTATTTCTATTTAAATATTATTTCCTTTCATGTATTTTCCGTGGGGAAATTTTATATATATATTAAAATAATTGACTTGAATATTTATTAGTTCTTCTCAATTTTGCTTTTAATAAAAAAGCACCTAACATCATAAGTTAACCTTGATCTCATGACCCACTATGAAATCACGACCTGAGTGGAAATCAAGACTCAGACACTTAACCAACTGAGCCATCTAGGTGCCTCTAAAATTTTTACATTGTTAGTACATGGCAAATATTACAAATGTTCCAAGAATTGTTGAGAAAGAGGTATTTTCTGTTGGTAGGCTACAATGTATATAAACAAATGGTCATACTTAACATTTATTGGTTTTATCAGTCAGATATTTCATGTCCTTATGTGTTACTCTAGAAAAACTTTCCTGGTGGTTTATAATCTGTTGGTCTTGTAATGATGTCTCTCACAATAATTGTGTTTATGTCAGTTTCTCTTTGAATGTCTCTAGAAAGCTTTGCTTGATTTTTTCGGTCAGTATTATTTTGTTATTTATGTCATTGCTATTATAAAATGGTTATTTACTTTGACTTTTCTTCAAATTCCACTGTCAGTTATAACACTGCCAATGTTTCCTTATTTAAACAAAAATTATTCTTTCATTTTAAAATGGCTTTTTTGTATGTCTCTTGTACACAGCAAATGATCAGATTTGGGTTGTTAATTCAAACTGAACTTTGCCTAGTACATAGTAAGAAGTACTCAATAAATATCTTAAAATCATATTTAATCTTACTAAATTCCTTTTTGTCTCTTATTTTGTTTTAGGTGGGCCATAAAACATGAAGGGACTAATAAACCGGGCCAGTGGAAACATTCCAGAGTTGAAAATCCTCTCTGGAACAAGCTTACCTACATGTGGCCAGTTCTTCCCAGTGGCCAACTTAATAAGGTTGTATTTAGTATAAGACGTGGTTGTTAAGATTTACTTCTAGTCCCAACATGTGGTCAATTTTTCTGAAAATTTCCATGAAACTTGAATTACATTTGTTAGGTGCAAGAGATCAATTAATTCTGTTGTTCTACCAATTCATTAGAAAAATGTGTCTGAGTCTTTCTTTATTGAAATGAATTTAGTTCATCTTGTACTCTGTCAAGTTTTTCTTTATGTATTGTGAAATTTGGCTCTTAGAAACACACGTTTGGAAATATTATTTCTCTCTCATGAATTGAAACTTTTATCATTCAGTAAAGATTCTCCCTAGCTCTAGTAAAAATCTCAATTATGCAATATTAATAGAAATTTCCCAGCTAATTATTATTTTTTTTTATTTTTACTTGCTTAATATATCTTCTTTCATTTCTTTTACTTTCTATATTTGTATATTCTGTTTTAGGAAGTTCCTTGGTATACAGTTAATATGAAAACAATTATCTGACAATCTTTAAACTAAAGGATTTGGTCTTTTCTATTTTTTGTCACAACAGATATTTTTGGATTATTATTTGCTTTCTATATGTCCTGGTTTTCTTATGTTTCATTTTTTCTCCATTTTTATGTTCTTTTAGATTGACTTTTTTTTCTCATTACATTTCCCCCTAGTAGAGTTTGGAAATTATACACTCCATTTCCATTCTTTTGTGTTATTACTCTGAATGTTTAAGCTTGCATATGTAAGTGATCAAAATCTAAAGTAAACAAATATATTTATTCTTCTCCCAAATAATTGAGAACATTAGAATACCTTAACTTCAGTCACACAATTTGTAACATATGCTATTATTGCCATGAAATTTATCTTTAAAAAATTTTTTTAGGGGAGCCTAGGTGGCTCAGTCGGTTGAGCGTCCGACTTTGGCTCAGGTCATGATCTCACAGTCTTTGAGTTTGAGCCCCGCATTGTGCTCTGTGCTGACAGCTCAGAGCCTGGAGCCTGCTTTGGATTCTGTGTCTCCTTCTCTCTCTTCCCTTCCCCTACTCATGCTCTGTCTCTCTCTCTCTGTCAAAAATAAACAAACATTAATTTTTTTTTAAATTTTTCTAACATTTATGCATTTTTGAGAGACAGAGCATGAGGGGAGGGGCAGAGAGAGAGGGAGACACAGAATCCAAAGCAGTCTCCAGGCTCTGAGCTGTCAGCACAGCTCTGAGAGCTCAGAGTGCTGACAGTTCAGAGCCCGATGCAGGGCTCAAACCCATGAGCCCTGAGATCATGGCCTGAGCTGAAGTTGGACGCTTAACTGACTGAGCCACCCAAGCTTCCCTGAAATTTATCTTTTTAAAAATTTCCCCAAAATTTTAAATTCTTATATGTAGCAAATATTTATTTAGATTTAGCCCCATTCCTTCCCCCTCTTTATTGTTATAATTCCTTCTTCTATCTCAGTCCTTCCACCTGTGATTACTTTTCTTCTATCTAGCATACCCTTCTTTAAGTTATTGGTAACAAACTCTTTTCGTTTTTACTTATCTGAAAATGTCTTTCTTTTGCCCTCCTTTATATAAGGTATTTTCACTTAGTGAATGGAAGATGTCATCACTGACTTCTACCTTCCATTGTTGTTATTGAGCAGCCATCTATCTTTCTAAATGTTAATCCCTTGAAGGTAATCTTTTCTCTGGCTACTTGTAGTATCTTTCCTTTTCTTTGATATTTTTCAGCTTCACCACAAAATGTCTAAGGGAGGATTGCTTTTTATTTTTCCTGCTTGGGGTTCTTGAATCTGTGGATTGGTACCGTGCATCATTCCTGGAAATTTGTCACCCATTGTCAAATAGTCTCTGTCCTATATCCCTTCATTCCATTCTTTACAGAAAACCCTGATTAGGTGTCAGCTAGAGCTTCTGATTTTGACCTCCATGCCTCCTAATCTCTCTTTTGTATTTCTCATGTCTTTGTCTCTTTATGGTACATTTTTGCATTGTGTTTTTAGGCATTTTTCTTTCAGATAATTAATTTTCTCTTCATCTTTATCTCATATATTTTAAACTACAAGTGAGGGTCAACCTGTGTGTTATGAATTCTCAGTGAAGATTATTTTTCTCTTCTACACAGAGAAAATGTTTGAAATAATCTATTTTACTTGCAGCCACCTGGAGGGTATCATTTCTTGTTTGCTTTTTCAATGATATTTAACTTATTGTGACTCTTGTTTTATGAGGGGAGAGAGTTTTCTGTTAGACTTCCCACTTTGGGTAGGCCTTGAAATTTGTCTCTTGTGTCCTTCCTCTGCAAGACAATGGAAGGAGAAACTCAAATTCATTGGGGTATGTCAAATTTCCTAAAAATAAAATCCAGTTTCAGCATTTTGTTTACCTCTCTGAGTCCCTAGTATATTTTGCTTTATCCTCATGTCATTGATACACTTTAAAGATTTTTAGAACTATTTTCTCCTGAATTTTTTAGTTGTTTTGTCATGCTTTCTGATTTCAATCAAGTTTTCTCTTTCCCTTAAGTCACATTTTCCTATGCCTCCTCACTGATTAAATGAGTCTCAGCACTTTAGGAAAAAGACAGATGGAGTCTGAAGCCAAGAAGTCATTTACTTAGGCCCCAAAGATATTCTTATATTTAGACGCTCTTATATTTAGTAGTGAAGCAGCAGTCTAGATATGAGTTTTGTTAAGTGGGAAAGAAGTTCTTCCAAATACCAGAGGCTGTGGGTTGGGCAGCCTGAGTCAGTGACTAGGTAAACTATGTGTCTAAGACTCGTGTTTGCAGCACTAGTGAGAGCCAACATGGAGCCAAGGGCAGAGAGGTGGCACAGAGAGACCAATGGGCCCAGAATAAGCCAAGGAAAAAAACTGCGAATTGTACCAACTCACCAATTCTAGATTTTTCTCCAGAGGTTCAGGAAAAACAGAGGCTAAAACCCAGAGAGGAGACAGGATAACATACCCCTCAACTGATGGTGTTCAGATGCCAGCAGGTTGTCCAGTGGCCAAAGAGCACAAGAGGCTAATACACAGAGGCCTCTGAGGATCAAGGCTGCGTACTCATCTGTAGACCATGGACCCCTATCCCAGTGGTATACAGTTTATAGAATTTTCATCTACCTGAAACCACACTGAGGAAGGGGAAGGGAAGGGTATATCTCTGAAAGGAAACAACAGTTCTGGTAAAAATTTGAAACTTCAGTTTGGTTGAATATGTATAGAAAGGACACAGCTAAAAACAAAAACCAAAAAAGCTGTTTTAAACTGGCAGAAATTGGAACACCTCTAATTGGAATATCAAGCTTCCTACCACCCAGTGGGGTGGGAGGTGAACAGAGATGCCTCACAAGGAAGTGTTCTTTTGTAGGAAAAGAGAGAAAATTATAATAATTTCAAATTTCACAGCTATTGTGCCTACATCTTTAACTTCAGTATATAAGTAAAATAACTCAGTTAATTAATTAATTGATTTAAATGATGCATGGTAATTATATTAGGAAACCTAAGTTAACTCCGTTCCTTTAAAATTTACCATTAAAAAATGCATTTTTGTGAATGGTCTGAGATTTGACAGCTACATGGTCTTAGGAATAAAAATGGACTACTGAAAAGTTCTCTAGCCATTCAAATAGAATAATAGCATTTGGGTGGAGAGATAAGACTGTACCCCAACAAAACTCTGGTCCTCACTGATAAACCAAAAGGAAAGGACTAAGGCATTAAATTAGCTAAAATAAGACAAATTGACCGTGTATTTCAAAATGACTCAGCCTAAGAGTACTCTTAGTTCTTGCAATGTTTGAGAAAGAGAAGAAAACACTTACCAGGCAGGGAACTTAAAAAGTTCTTACTCAAATTAAATATAATCTGTTTTATATGGAGGAGTTCGTACTCACAAACTCATGAACTGTGAGATCATGACCTCAGCTGAAGTCAGACACTTAACCGACTGAGCCACCCATGCACCTCAGGATATCAGTACTCTTAAGATATGTTAAAACCTTATAAAATTATAAAGTTAATGAATTCTTTTTGTTTATTCTGCGACTAAATTCACTGGAATAATTTATCGGAACTCAAGCTATTTTCTTATCCCTTGGGAAAAAAGTTGTAAATTGAGAAGTTGTATTTTTAAACACTTAAAGGTAAGGAGCAATGGATTTTCATATTCAAGGATGAAATTGCTGGAAAAGTGAGATTAAAGAGACTTAAGATTTTGGAATGGGCCACTGGATAGTGATTTTTAGATTCCCAAATTATTAAATTAAAATGTAACTATTAGGAGAGCCCATTTTAAACAAAATAGTGAAAAGTAAACATTTTATTAATTTTTTAAGACATTAAAAAGGGGAAGTGTAAGAAGGCCCAAGCCAGGGAATTGAAGAATCCATTAGTTTATTATTAATAACACATAGATGAAGGAGGACCAGTATGATTAAGAAATTTAGATAACTAGTTAAGAGTTGGACTTTCCAAAGAAGCACAGCCTCTCTCTTGTCATGAGAGAGAGGTGAAAGAGAAAAAGCAGAATTATCAGCATAAGAGAGCACCGAGACCCATCTCCTGACAATGCAGCAACAGCATGGAATATTGTGAACACAGAGAAGACCAATAAAGAAATGAATGGGAACATAAGAATTCCAATGGAGAAAATGTTGGGGAGGAAATAGCTCTCCATGCTTATTAGTTAATTATACATGTTTTGTTGTCCTTCGAGATAATATTATGTTTCTTTGGGTTGTGTTCCATGGTGTCTCATATTATAGAGAAGACCCTTGGGCTTACTTCATTTAACTGGAAAGCAAAGGAAGCTGTCTGAAGTCAGCAATTGGTTGGTACTGTGGGGCTACAGTTGCTGTCTGTAGCAATTTAGGAGCTTAGGAACTTTTTTAAACTTTTAGTTTAATTCCAGTTAGTTAACATACAGTGTAATATTAGTGTCAGGTGTACAACATAGTGATTCAGCAATTTCACATATCACCCTGTGTGCATAATGACAAGTGCACTCCTTAATC